AGGTTTACCCAAGGGTAACAGGAATAATGAAAAAGCCAGGATGAGCCCATGGCTCACCCAAAGGTGCAGGGAGGCAACAACCAAGTGTGCTAGGGAATGGAAGAAATATAGAAGGCAAAGGACCCAGGAGAATAAGGGAGGCCCAACGACAATGTGAAAACGACATAGCAGCGAAAGCCAAATCTGACCTGAAGCTGTTATATAGCCACATCAGGAGGAAAACAATAGTCAAGGACCAGGTAATCAGGCTAAGAAAGGAAGGAGGAGAGACAAGAAGAAATGACCATGAAGTATGTGAGGAACTCAACAAGAGATTCAACGAAGTGTTCATAGAGGAGACAGAAGGGTCTCCAGAAAGACAGAAAGGAGGAGCACACCACCAAGTGATGGACACAGTACACACAACCAAGGAAGTGAGTGAGCTAGATACCTCAAAGGCAATGGGGCCGGATAACATCTCTCCATGGGTCCTGAGAAAAGGAGCAGAGGTGCTATGTTTACCCCTAACAACAATATTCAATACATCTGTCGAAACAGAAAGATTGCCTGAGGCATGGAAGACAGCAAATGTAGTCCCAATCTTTAAAAAAAGAGACAGACATGAAGCACTAAACTAGAGACCAGTGTCACTGACATGTATAGTATGCAAAGTCCTGGAGAAGATTATCAGGAGAAGAGTGTTGGAACATCTAGAAAGGAATGATCTCATCAACAGCAGCCAATATGGTTTCAGCGACGTGAAATCCTGTGTCACAAACCTACTGGAGTTCTATGATATGGTGACAGCAGGAAGACAAGAGAGAGAGGGGTGGGTGGATTGCATTTTCTTGGACTGCAAGAAGGCGCTTGACACAGTCCCACACAAGAGATTAGTGCAAAAAACTGGAGGACCAAGCAGGGATAACATGGAAGGCACTACAATGGATCAGGGAATACTCGTCAGGGAGACAGCAGCGAGTCATGGTACGTGGCGACGTGTCAGAGTGGGAGCCTGTGACCAGCGGGGTCCCTCAGGGGTCAGTCCTAGGACCAGTGCTGTTTCTGGTATTTGTGAACGACATGACGGAAGGAATAGACTCCGAAGTGTCCCTGTTTGCAGATATCATGAAGTTGATGAGAAGAATTCTTTCGATCGAAGACCAGGCAGAACTACAAAGGGATCTGGACAGGCTGCAGACCTGGTCCAGCAATTAGGTCCTGGAGTTCAACCCCACCAAGTGCAAAGTCATGAAGATTGGGGAAGGGCAAAGAAGACTGCAGACGGAGTACAGTCTAGGGGGCCAGAGACTACAAACCTCGGTCAAGGGAAAAGATCTTAGGGTGAGTATAACACCAGCCACATCTCCTGAAGCGCACATCAACCAAATAACTGCTGCAGCATATGGGCGCCTAGCAAACCTCAGAACAGCATTCCGACATCTTAATAAGGAATCTTTCAGGACCCTGTACACCGTGTACGTTAGGCCCATATTGGAGTATGCGGCACCAGTTTGGAACCCACACCTAGCCAAGCACGTAAAGAAACTAGAGAAAGTGCAAAGGTTTGCAACAAGACTAGTCCCAGAGCTAAGAGGTATGTCCTACGAGGAGAGGTTAATGAAAATCAACCTGACGACACTGGAGGACAAGAGAAATAAGGGGGACATGATAACGACATACAAAATACTGACAGGAATTGACAAAGTGGACAAAGACAGGATGTTCCAGAGATGGGACACAGCAACAAGGGGACACAGTTGGAAGTTGAAGACACAGATGAATCACAGGGATATTAGGAAGTATTTCTTCAGCCACAGAGTAGTCAGGAAGTGGAATAGTTTGGGAAGCGCTGTAGTGGAGGCAGAATCCATACATAGCTTTAAGCAGAGGTATGATAAAGCTCACGGTTCAGGGAGAGTGACCTAGTAAAGACCAGTGAAGAGGCAGGGCCAGGAGCTTGGACTCGATCCCTGCAACCTCATCTAGGTGAGTACACACACACACACAAACGTGAAGGGCTAAGATGATGGAGGTGGTACTGGAAAACCTCATGCATCAACACGTTAGGAAGACTACCAGAGGGAGAGGAAAGGATGAACTAGCAAGACTGGATCTAGTATTCATCTTGAGCAATGTAGATATTGAGGACATCACGTATGAAAGGCCCCTCGGAGCTAGCAATGAGGTGATTCTGAGCTTTGAATAAATAAAGTTACAAGAGGAGAGGAAAGCAGGAAGGGCAGAGAGAATGAAGCCAAACTACAGGAGAGGGGACTACGTAGGCATGAGGAACTTCCTGTAAGAAGTTCAGTGGGACAGAGAACCGGCAGGGAATTCAGAAAATGAGGTGATGGAATGTGGCAACAACTTGCAGGGCAGCAGAGGAGAAGTTTGTACCCAAGGGCAACAGATATAATGAGTAGGCTAGAACGAGCCCTTGGTTCACACGGAAGTGTAGAGAGGCCAAAACCAAATGCAATAGAGAATGGAAGAAGTATATGAGGAATAGGCCCAGGAGAATTAGGAGAGTAGTCGAAGATAAGAAATGAATATTCACAGGTAAGGAGGGAGGCAAGTTAAGGAGGGAGGCAAGTCAAGCCACGGGGGGGGGGGAAATCTGTAGCTCAAGTACTTTCACACTTCTCAGTGCGTTATCAGGAGCTGTGCAATGTTGCAAAGACAACAACAGGAGAAGAAGGCAGAGACTGGCTGGTGCCTGCACACTACCATACTCTAATAACTTACCCTTCATCTCCTGCTGTTACATATGCAACATTGCACAGCTCCTGATGATGCACTGAGAAGTGTGAAAGTACTTGAGCTAAAGATTTTCAACCCCCGTGGCTTGTCATGCATTGTTAAGATCGCCTGTCTGAGTTGTTTTGCTTATAATATATATATAATATAATATATATTAAATATATATTATATATATATATATATATATATATAATATATATTATATATATATATATAATATATATATATATTGTGTGGGTGTATGTGTAATTTTCTTTAATAAAATGTTCACATCTCTACTACTCACCTGTTACCTTCTTTACTTTGCTCTATCCTGTTCCTCAGCAATGGTTCATCAGTCCAGTACCCTTCGTTCCTCGGGTGGACGGCGACTTCATTCCTGATGAGCCTGCTAAGTTGATCCTTGAAGGACGACACCACATGGTTGACCTCATGGCTGGAGTTACGAGAGACGATGGTGCTTTCACTTCTCATGGTTAGTTTTAGCTGGATCTAAGTGACGAAATGCCAACAGTAGTGAAGACAACACAGTTTGCATAACAAATCTGAGAAAATTTTGTTGCAATATGTATAGACTTGATAATATTCTACATAATCCCACTTAAAGTGTATTCTGCAACGTTATATTTTCCTTATCAGTTTTAACTTCTTGTTCACTAAATTTGGTGATCAGTGAATAGATTAGTTGTCTCTATTACCCCTGTGTAATAGTTACATGTTTTTTTTTTTTAGTAGACGAAATTTATACCTTATTTTTTCTGACATGATGAATGGTTTGTAAGGAAAATCAGATGAAGTGACCTCCACAAAAAGTGCATGCTAAATCCACCAGAAATGAAAATGCAAAATGGCCGCTCGAGATAATACGACTATGAATGTCGAATCAGTCTTTTCTAAATGTAATTCTTTTTTGTCGCAAAAACTTTAAAAGTGCCTCAGTTACATATATAATTAATATACCTTATAATTATGCATAAACTAATAAAAATGATACAGTATGACATAATATCCTAGTTGTTCTGGTGAAGGAATAATTATATGAAAAACATTATAAAAACAAGGTGTTTACTATAGAGATGAAATCAATTCCGTTTTGAGTACAGACATTTGCAGACATTAAAGAGAGCTTACATATATAAAAATTTATTCTAAGTCGAAACTGAAATAAAAAGCAGAAAACCAGTAAAGAAAATAATCAGTAGTTAGATACATTCTGAATCTTATCATCCACAGAATCAAATGAAGAATACAACTCAAACTTAACAACTCTTTGCATATTTATATTTTAGGGGAAGCGCTAAGAACTCAGGGGTCATTCAGCGCCAGGGGGGGGGGGGAATGGGAACTAGGTATGATCTAAGAAAAGGGAAGTCAGGGCCAAGATGAAGAGCCCTTCACCGGACTTATGGAACCTCTCTTGAGATGAAGAATGTTTAACATTGTTGCAGTGAATGTTTTTGGTAACGGACTGGTTGGCACTTTCCATCAATAAGTTGCCACCTCCCTCCCCGGAAGGTGGCAACTTCTTGGGTCAGGTGAGGGGCTCCTGATCCGAAGAAAGATTTGACCTCCCCTGCCTTTGATCGAACCTAATTCTTTCGTTTATCCTAAGGCATTGTATAAAACATACTGGCTTAGTTGCTGTTACAAAATGTAACATTTAGCATTTAGCCTGTTTCTGGTTTTGTAAAAGTTTGTCAGAATAAATTCCGATCCAGTTATCCCGTCAATTTTTTTTTTTTATTTTATTTAAAAACTTTACAGCTTGATATTAAATAAAGATATAAAATGGGTACAGTAGGATCCTCAATCCTACAGAACATACACTAACCAATTATTAACAACACATTGTAATTGACATAAAAGAGGTTACCCATATACACTCACAAAATTTTCCATATAACATACTATGATAAACAATATAAACTATAACTATATAAACTATATAAAATATAAACTATATACAACTTTCAGATTTGTATAGTTAACATACTATGACTGACATATGACAAAGGTTCACAACCTTCACAGGAGATAATCAGAGTAATAACCTACATCATAATCTCAGTTAAACAATTACATGCTCTTCCCCAAAATTAACCCCTATACAATAAGAAGAACCTAAGCACATACATACGTGCCTCACTACAATCTCTCTTTAAGCATTGACCAAAAAAAAAAAAAAAAAAAAAAAAAAAAAAAAAAAAAAAAAAAAATCAAATCCTAAGCCTCACACTTATACTAAATAAATATTAACAAATATTACTAAATATTACTACAGCCTCTTCCAATGCCTGAGCACATTATATAAAATCTGAGACTAAAAGATACTGTCCCATTACAAACTTTTAACGAGGCATTACAAATTTATGGAAGTCATTAGCATTCCATCTCGCAGCAACTGGATGAGCACATTATATAATGGCAAAATAAAGACAGTACACTCGCTAAAAACCCACAACACTAAACATAAACATAATTTAAATAACCTCTCATTGCGATACAATTATCGCACATGAAATATGCCCAATAAAGGCTATAAACGCACCACTCATACATAAGCCCTAAAGCTCTTCACGTCTTAAAACTATAATCTTTACACCATTCACACTTAATACATGAAGGTCATGACGACCCTGACACATCAAACACAGAATTCTCCATTCGGTACTACGTAATTACTTGATATCACCTTTGCTTTCTGTGCCCACTTGCATGCTACATACACGTATGCCCACTCATCTACACCTTCATATACCCACATACACCTTACTCTCACCCCTCCCCAGGAGGCGACCCCGCTGTGTCCCCCTGAAATCCCCCTTCCCGTATGTAATCCCCAACCCCCCCCCTTACTCACTCAGCCCAAGTCGTAGATTGATGAGAAACCCTAACGTTAACATTCTATACCCTTCCAAAAAATCCTTCTCCCACCTCCTCCCATACAGTTCTCTATTACGACACATCGTACGATAAACCGTTACCGCTAGTACCCGCCTCCGCACCTCACAATTCCCCTACCCCCCTCATCACCCACGATATATATATATAATCCACTGTTAAATAATCCAAAGCTCTTATAACACTCTCATCGAACCCTCCCACATCTAGGCTTAGTGCACGCAGAACCGACACCCCTCGGCACCCCATCCCCTGTACTACCCTACTTAACCAATACCTAACACCCTCCAGTCCCCCACAAAAGTATACTGCATGGAACGCCGTCTCATCCTCCCCACAGATTCCACACCTTCCGCCCACAATTACCCCTCTGGTTCTTAAAACCTCCCCCGACGGTAGTATGCCATGCAAAAAACGATACGTTACCTCCCTTACCCTAGGCTTTAACTTCAACTTGCTAAACCTATATACCAAATAGTCTTCCATGCGTACATGGGGAAACATCCCTCAACTGGTACAACAATCCTGTCTGCAAGCAGCTTACACAAAACCCCTACTCGAATTTTCCTGGGTTCTCTAACCAACATCAAAGCCCTCAAAATAGTTTCACATTCCCTCAACTCCACCCACCATACAACTTACCCAACCTATCATATACTTTTCCCAGCTGCCCTCCACTCACACCTTCGCGCAAAACCTCCCATTTAAGAAACACACATTTAATCCTCCTTCTCAGATTCATCAACCCCAACCCACCCTGGTGCACAGGTAACATTACAACCTCTCTCTTCAGCCAATCGCACCTTGAACCCCACAAAAAGTTAAACACTCGTCTCAGAATTCCCACAATCGCCGTCCCTGTTAATGGGAACACGGCTGCTACGTGCCAAACCTTACTATACAATAATACATTTATAACAATCACTCGTTGCACGAGAGTCAGATGATGAGGTCGCAATGCACCCAGACGCCCCTGAATCCTTTCCATTAATCTATTCGAGTTTTCCTCTCGAGCAGCGTCCAAATCATCCTTATAGGTGATACCACAAATTTTTAAAGACACCGTTTGTTTTCTCACAACGTTACATCTCCCCCCCCCCTCACCCAATCACCCAACCCCATGATCATTGACTTCTCTCTATTTACCTGCATCCCTGTTGCATTTCCGAAACTGTTGCACAACATCTCCAAAACACCCAACGCCATCCCCTCCCGAACCAGGACTGTTGTATCGTCTACATATCCTATTATTCCCGGCCACACTTTCCCTACCCCCCCCATACCTCCACTCGTGTCACATACACAACGTTCAACCATTCTATAGAAGGGTCCTGAATGCACCAAACAACATTTGTGACATGGGACACCCCTGCCTAAGTCCCCTACCCATTACAATCTCCTCCCCCAAGCATCCATTAATCTGTACCCTCATCTTGGCTCCATTGTACAACGTGGTTACCCAATTAACTATTTCTTCCCCATAACCCTGCCTCCTAAGTATAGCTCCCAATGCTCCTCTTTCCACCCTGTCATAGGCCCCCTGCCAGTCTAAAGCCAACAACGCCGCCCTCCCTCCCCCCCCCCCCTTTTGACTCCACAAAACTTCTCAGTATTCCATGACCCTCAATCATCGCCCTTTCCAGGCAAACCATACTGCGTTTCGAAACCACTCTCCCTACCACACATTTGAACCAATTACCCAAGACTTTAGCGAACAACTTATAATCAGCACATAACAGAGATATGGCACAGTACTCCTTGAGGGTGTGCTGCCCCTTACCCTTCTGGACCAACACTACAACTGCTGTTGCTTGCTTGTCCCCCATCACACCCTTCTCCTTCATCTGATTAAATAACCTACCCATGAAACCCCTTTATCACCTCCCAATTTGGAGATAAAATTCAGCCGGGAGACCGTCTATTCCCGGTGCTTTGCCTTTCCTCATTCCCCTTAAAGCCAACTCTATTTCCTCCTCTGTTGTTACCCCCCCCCTAAAGCCTTTCTATCACTATTCCCTAAATTACACGTCACATACTCACCACCTTCTCTAAATCCACATTTCCCACCTTCCCACTTGTCCAATACCCTTCATACCATTTATCCGCATACGCACACATTCCTTTTGTAGTTAGTATCTCCTGACCCATTCTATAACCCCCCGCCATCTCGTGTACCTCTAACCTCGGAATAGCTGTAACCTGCTGTCTTTTTTTTGACGTCGCAACACACACGCTGATGGTTTGTCTCCCCAAAGCACCTCCTCTACCCCTGCCTGCACCCTTACCGCTTGAAACTTCTCATTTTGTAACTCCCTCAGTCTCCCCTTGACCTCGACAATTTCATCCATAGGATAGTTGCCCCCCACACCCCCTTCCCATAACAGCCCCGTAACCTGTCCTCCAGATAATTTGAAAGCCCATATTAAAATCATTTATACGTTTGCCCACCCCCACATAATATTTCCTAATCCTTTCCTTGGCAACACAATCCCACCATTGTACGACATCTTCCACTCCCTGTGCCTCCTCGCTAAGCTCCTTCCATAGGACAGAAAATCCTCTAACCCCTCCTCA